CCCGGCGGTCCCGTTCTGCATCGGCCCCCTGCCAGTCCTGACGGTATTTTTCATTTACCCGGAGTGATTTTTTTTTTTCCCCTCTAAGTTTGCTGTTTTCCTGAAATGGTCTGAAATGTAATAGACCAAGACAATCATCAGAATGAAATATCTCCTTCATAAAATATGCAGCAGCTATCCAGAAATGAAGATCGAGTGGAATGAGGGCTGCCAGGCAAAGATTTAAAGGTGCTGACATGTTCCCATAGGTTGTTTACTGAAGATATCTTCTCCTAAGCCCCAGTTTTAAGGCTGCCTTTCAAAAGAAGGCACAAAATAAAATTTAGCAAGGAGGTTTAATAATTCAAGCTGCCATGTGCTGAGCTTTTTGTTGCCCTTATGGGAACAAAGCCTCATTTCAAAGGACCTTGACTCTGTTCTGATAGTGCAGGAGCAGTGGCACTGCCAGAGCTATTTTTGCACCGAGACACTGATTGGGAGTGAAACCTGTCTCCGGTGGCTGTGCCAGCAAAACCTGGACAGGCACAACACGCAGGCATATGGCCCGATTTTCCGAAAGGTGCCAATTCCAAGGAATATGGGGGTGCTCTCTCGCTATAAAAGGGCACCTTGGGCACCTGGCATTAGGAAAAAGCTTTAGCACTGCTCATGGCACGAAGATCTGCCCACCCATGGCAGCACGGCAGGGCGAGGGGAGCCCAGCCCTGCAGCCTCAGGCCAGTGACATGGGAGGACGAGGCGAAGCCCTGGCAGCTCTGCCAAGCTGCAGGGTTGTTCCCTGGTCTTGCTTCATCTGCTGCGATCTCTGTATTGCAGGAGGCTCTGTATTAGGTCCTGGGCTGAACCCGGCATCAGGCTGGGTGTTGGTGTGCTGCAGATACCTGGTGAGGACTGTGGGTTGGTCTGAGGCGTTTTTCCCTTGCCGGCCCCTCGAGCAAACCGTATGTCCCCGGATCCCCTGCCACAGCGCAATGTTGCTCATGGAGACTGCAACAAGTGAATCCTGTGTGTACCCAGACACTGCAGGCTTGCCCCTGTGTCATCAGGAGCTGCAATGAAGTTGGCAATGGAGAGTAAAACCTTATGTCCTAATGCAGCATCTCCAAGCGAACACCGGCCTCGTTGACACGCCCGGCTTTCCCGACACGCTCTGCTCACTTCTCTCCTCCGCTTTCCCCTCTGCAGTGGGTTTGAGTGACCTCAGCATCCTTCCCATGACTGGAGAGTGGTGTTCGTCAGCAGAATTCCCCTGTGAGTGGTTGTGGTCCCGCTGCAGACGCAGCTGTGTGAGATCTCTGCCTGCTGTTCAGACCGGGAGCAGGCATTTCAGCAGACAGGACTTGTACAGAACGCAGTCCCGGTGAAATGCTGGGCAACCGGGTCCGACTTCCAGGCTGGACTGCTGCTGGTTGGTCTGGGTGCCAAAGGCAGCGGGACCCAGCGGGAAGCCCCGACCTACG